CAAAAAAATAAAAAGCAAATTTTAAATAAAACCGACATTACAGCATTTAAGTTTAAGTTTTCTAAAAAAACTTCCTTCGAAACACACGGAAGAGCTGAAATTCGTTAATTTGTGTTGGATAGTTGGTAGCAGTAGTCCAGGACTCAACAATGGCCATTTTGATGCACTTGCTAAACTTTTAATTTTTTCGAGTGATACTTCAGATCTAATCAATTCATCAGCCCTCGTTACTATATCCAATGACTCTTCCGTTGAGCATAACGTTCACTTGCAGTTTCTGGCTATTCAAAATATGTTTTGCAGTTGTAAATATTAGGTATAGCGTTACTGAACCGATTATAATTTTTTTATTCTTTGTCTTAACACCCGTTCAACCTAACTGCACAAGGAGTCAGATGCTCCAAGGTACTTTTTCCACGCTTGGGCTATTGCGGATTATGTTCTTACTTTATCGACTTTCGAGTCCTCTAAATCTTTTGAGTTTTGAAACAGGCCAGTTCGGGTCCATATCTTTAGCCTCTGATAACTTAATATTAATTGGGGCTTCTGTTGATTCTTTAGTTGAACCAACACCATTCTTTCCATGAGTTTCTCGGAATCTGTACTGTTTTCTACAGATGAGCAGTGGAATTGTCAGAATACAGTTTAGGCTTTTTTTTTACAGTTTCGTTGTGTTTTTTGAAATGCTTTGGACACTGAATATTTTCCTGAGCTTTTTCTGGAGCATTCTAAAATTTTCTGTTCTTTGGGGGTTTTCTTAATGAATATTGAATGGTATACCTACAGTTTTCTTCAGCTTTTGTACAGCTTATACTAGTTTGCGACAGTTATATTTAGACAGTTCGATTTAGATTTACCAGTGGTTGTCTTAGTCCATATAGTTGTATACAACAGTGGTGCGACATGGAGGCTGTGTGAGACACTTTCCAGTTTTAAGGGTTTTTTTCTACAGCGTAAACATTTTTGAGCTGCCAAAATCATATCGTTGGTATACCGCCTTCCATTACATATCCATAGCCGAATTCAATTATTTTATTACCAAAAATGCAAAGGCAAATTTTCGCTCAAAATTTTCTCCTACCCCCATCGCACCGCTGACACTTTCAGTCAGTCATGAATGTTTTATTTTATTTTTTTTTTTTCAATAAAAAGAAGAGTTGACCAAACATCGGCCATCGTTGCAGCAACCCAACTATTTATGTACATATCTACTCTGAACCAGTTTCCTGCCAGCCCACTATTATTTGGCGCATGCCACGCAGTTAAGACAGCAAACGTTGACGAAGACACCAGCGGCTAGAAACTGTCATTACAGCTAATCAGACATGAAATATGGCACTTTGCTGGAGTAAAATTACAGCATTTTGTAAGCGTTTGTTGCTTTTGTACCACTCTTGCTGCGGTTATCGCTACTGAGCTTGTTATACATTTTCTATTGATTGCTCTTGTTGTAGTGACAGCAATTACAATTGTTGTAATACGCGCGCGCGTCCACGTTTGCGCGTGTAGCCAAAGGGGCAAATTTCAAATCTAAACAAAAAGAAAAAACGAGTAAGCAAAAATTGTGCAGCAACATTACATATGTTCGGCAAACGCGAGCAATAATAATTCTAACGGTAATAAAATAAAAAATCAAACGCTTTATCCAGTTTGAATTTATGTTGTTGTTATTTCTATAGATTTGGTACTCGCTGCTGCTGCTCTGGTTTCCTTGCGAATTTACAAGGCTACTTTAAACACGCGTTGATGTCCAACATGCTTCGGCGAAAATGTTTATACACATACATACCTAGATACTGTGCACCGCTGTAATAAATAACACCGTTGTTAACGAGTACCTGGCATTTACAAGAATATTTTCTGTTTGAACTATTTCCCGCAGCAAAATTCGGTGGCAATGCAAGACTATGTAAATACCAGTTAAGGTGACGTATGCAGAAGCTTAAGTTCAATAATTATAGAGTTACATACAAACTAACTGAAGTGTGGTATATATGTAAGTAAATCAATAGGTGGAGTTAATAACTTTCTCTATGCGGTGTATTTTTTTCTCCAGCCATTAGACACATTTCGATAAATTTAGTCAGGAAAATGCCAAAATTTCTACGTACGATGGTTATAAGATATAGACGCACACCACAAATTGAAGGATAAGCTCGACCGAACACTTACCAAAAGTGTAAGCGCCACAAAAAACGAGGACATTGGAAAATTTTGCGCACCATTCTAGCAACTTTACTTGAGTTGGACTACAGAAGCTTAATATTTTGCATCG